ATCATGATGTGGTTATAAATCCACTCTATGTTGATGGTGAAGAAGCAATACCATTCAGTTGGTCGATGATTGTTTCTCTTCGATATAATTGCAGTCAGAATGGTAGTTCGATGCACCATTGTTGTAGTGGAACTATCATCACAGATTCGTACATTCTGACAGCAGCACACTGTGTAAATCGACTACAGAATTCATCTCTTGAAAATGTTACATTGCTGCTGGTATTCATCAGCTATCTGATGAACGTCCAATTATTCGAAATGTAGATAAGATTTTTATTCATCCGAACTATTTGGAAATGGCGGATAATCTAATACTTGACATGGCAATCGTACATCTTTCCGAACCACTCGATCTCGGAATAAATTTGTATCTTGCACGAACGTGTCGACCACCTCGACTAGAACGACCAGAAGATGCAATGGACTATCCATCGAATGGTACCACTCTAATTATCACGGGATGGGATCATTTCTCAGATGGAAACGACGTACTCGATGAACTGCAACAAGTGACAATCTATTCTATTCATCATAATCAGTCGACATGTGCCAATACAATTCATAACAATCTAATGCAATTCTGCGCTGGAATCTATGACAGTAGTAACAATGGTGAACATTTTTGTCTTTTGTATAAATTTCGTTGATAATTGAATCATCTTGTTCATTCATTCTAGGTCCTTGTTTCGGTTCGTGAGTCGTAATTGTCTTTCATTTACAATTTATCTTGCATTACGATACATTTTAGGAGATTCTGGTGCGCCAATTTTTCGATGGATTGGCAACCGTTGGGAACAAATGGGTCTTGTTTCATACGCGAAAGGCAGTTGTGGATCTCCTGATTACCAGACTGTTTTCACTCGATTGGCATCCTACAACGACTGGATCGATTTGATTGTGTTCGATAATAACACTCGACCTACGGTGACATATAGATGTGATAAATATTCATCTTGTGGGTGTGGCTATAATGATGTTGAGTTCACTTCATCGAGAATTGTTGGCGGTGAAGAGGCAGTACCCTACAGCTGGTCAATGATGGTTTCTATTCGAGATCGTTTTACCAATAATCATTTTTGCGGTGGTTCGATTCTTTCGGATTCTTATATTCTCACAGCTGCTCATTGTGTCGATGACAAACCATCAACTAGAATACAGATTGCCGCTGGTATTCATAATAAATACTATTCATATCCTGTAATTCGTGAAGTTGATCAGATCTATATTCATCCGGGTTGGTCATCGTTATCAAGTGAACATCGAAATGATATCGCAATTTTACATTTAGCACAACCATTCGACTTCACGATAAATCTGTTGATAAAACAGACCTGTGTGCCAAATGTTACCTTGCCTACACATGTTCAAGACTATCCACCCAATGGTACACGTTTAGTCGCAATCGGCTGGGGCAATATAAACTCGAGCTTAGATGATAATTCATCGAATAATCTTCATCAAGTTCAAATATTTTTAATCGATAATACTGATCCAATTTGTAATAAGTCAATTTTAGACATAGAAACACAATTTTGTGCTGCACTCTACGAAGATGGCAAAGGTTAGTTTCAACTTATATTTATGCTTCTTTCATACTATTTATTCTCCGATTAATTGTAGGTACTTGTCAAGGTAAATATTCAACAATGTTCTCGATTCTTGTCACAAATTTTATTTAATTAGGTGACGATGGTGGACCAATTCTACAATGGCTGGGCAATCGATGGGAACAAGTAAGAACTCTGTAATGCAATTTTGGGCAAAGAAATTGTTGAGAAGAAGAGAAAAAATCTCGGTGCTGTTTCCGATTGGATGATTCGAATATCAGTATCTCGAGTTGACAATAGTAGCTTCGATATGTTCATTTTTTGAAGCACAAAAATATACACAATTCGAAGTTTCAAACGTACTCAGATATTGAATTTCCAATTGCTGATATGAAAACAATTTTAAAAAAAATATTGTTTTCTTCTTTTAGGTAGGTATAACAAGTTATAGTGAAGGATGTAGTCTTGCAGGTAAACCCAGTATTTACACACGATTAGCTGCCTATCGTGAATGGATTCTATCGATTTTAACCAATGTCGAACCGACCAACCAAACAACAATGCACATAACTACGATATCCATCACTTCACAACCAACAACGTCAAACAGTACACGACTTGTGAACACAACTATCGCTTCCCAATCTCCAATAGTGTCAAGTAGTACTCCAGAGTCGATCCAATCAATGACCTACATGTGTGATCGAATTCCAGGTCAATGTGGCTGTTCGTTGACAAATGTAGTCGTTTCTTTTCATAGTCAATTATCGACGGACAATATTGTGCATAGTCATAATGCCTTGCCATACAGTTGGTCAATGGTAGTTTCTGTGCGAATTCGTGGAGAAAAGCATTCATGTAGTGGGACTATTCTATCTGATTCTTTTATTTTGACTGCTGCTCGATGTGTTTCGTTGCTATGGAATCCGGTCAATATCACAGTTGCTGTCGGCATTTATGTTCTTTCGCAACCTTCGATCATTGTTCGTGAAGTCGATGGAATTTATATTCATCCGAACTATGTCAATGAACATTTGCATAATATCGCCATTCTTCATTTGAAGCACTCGCTCGAATTGAGTGCACAATCTTTACTAGGCAAATCTTGTATTCCTATTGTTGAATCGCCATTCAATCAATATCCACCGACTGATTCATCGTTGCTTGTCGTCGGCTGGAGAAGCTCGAGAGGAGAAAGTCATCTCTTCGATTTTCTCCAACAAATACCTATGAGAACGATCAACAATCAACATCCTTCCTGTTCGATATCCAATGATAATTATCAATTCTGTGCTGAATTATTGAATGACAGAGGTAAAAAAAGTAGCATTTCGTTTCATCAACTCATCAACATATATTTATTTCTTTAGATTCATGTCTTGGTAAGTGAAGTTGAACAAAAAAACCAAGGAAACAATGTTGTGCTATTTGTAGATGATATAGGCGGACCTATTTTCATGTTCCAGAACAACTATTGGAAACAGGTAAAGTAAAAATCAATTGAATAGATGATCGATTGTTCTATTATTTAGGTAGGAATCATCTCGAATGAGTATGGCTATAATGTAACCAATTATTCGAAAACGCATACGCGTCTGGCGGCCTACATACATTGGATAAGAAATATCACGCAAGATAGTACGATTGGTATACGTCCACGTCCACCGACCACAACTAGTCCACCGACCACAACTAGTGATGGGAAGAAAAATGATCAAAATATTTTTGCTATTGGAATATTTCTTCTATGTTTTACCATACAAGTAACGCTCATCTAACGATTCGCTCACCCTTTTCTGAAAGAAGAAGAACATTAGAATTAATACCTTTTCCGTAAATAAAACAAATATTCTTAGTTTTTCTTTATTTTTTCTAAACTATGCTGCCTCTCATGTAGTTTTCTTAAGTTTAAAATAAAGTAATGCATTTTGAGACATTCTGTTTTTATCGAAATGTTCTTTTAAATAGTTCTTCTCTTCCGTTAAAGTTTATTCTGTCGTTAATCGAAGTCCCATCTATGTGGTTGTGGGTGTGGGTGTAGGTGTGAGTGGGTGTGATTGTAGGTGTGAGTGGGTGTGATTGTAGGTGTGAGTGTGGATACGAGTGTGAGTGTAGGTGTAGGTGAAACAATAATTCTAATCAGCATTGACACCCACACCCACACCCCACCCACACCCAAATTCAGGATTTAAACAGAAAGCATCTTCAATGGTTGGAGGTCACATCTTCATCCATATTTAGCCAAGTCTACGATCAGACCCACCTCTGCAGCTACCCCACGATCACACACATTGAAGGACCTCAAAATTAATAGTTCAAAAAGAGTGAAACTTTTTCGATAATGAATTCGGTAATTCAATCTCAAACAAATCACCATCAGCATTCTCATTATGTTTCTTATACATCTTTTCATTATAAACAAAACACAAAATCATTTGACACATCCATTATAAAAAATATTCTTGAAAAGTTCTCTTATCTAATTTTTTTATTAATATTTATTTCTTTCCTCTCTTTATTACAGATTCTAGATTTTGTTTGTATACTTGAAGATTTGGATGACGGACAGGTAATGTAAGTTGTCCAATTTCAACTGCACGTTTGTACGAAGCAATTGCATCTGAATATTTTTTCATATTAGTATATACCAAGCCAAGGTTATTGTATGATAGAGCCAATAATGGATGAGTTGATGGAAGGCTTTTAACGAAAATTTCAAGTGCTGTTTTGCAAAATGAAAGTGCTCTCAAATAATCACCTTTGGTATTATATATTAAGCCGATACTATTACAACACGATGCTATATTTGGATGATCATCTGGAAGAGTTTTCTTGTAGATTTCTAGTGCTTTTTCATAAAATTTAAGTGCCTCTGAATGGTCATTTATATTATCATATACTAGGCCAATGTTATTATAACAAGTAGCTATATTAGAATGAGCTGCTGGAAGATTCTTTGAATATATTTCGAGTGCATCGTGATAGTTTTTAAGTGCTTTATCAGGTTTTCGTTGATTATCATTAATTTGTCCAAGTTGATAATAGATATTTCCCTTCTGAAATTCATCAGTCGTGCGTTGACGCAGTAAAGTTCTGAATACTTCTTCAGCTTTATCGAATTCACCAAGTTTTATCATTAATGAACCTAATCGATATAATGCTGATGGTCCTTCAATTTCTATTCGAATCCGTTCGATTAAAGCATTAAGCTGTTTATCACTGTTGCTAGTCGATGTTAGATTGACATACCAGAGTCGATTATTTATACCACTTGGTTTTATCTCACCAATACGAAAAATAGTGAGCATCGAAAATAAAATTTCACCTTCTCCTGGATAATAACTGATGTCATTGATACTGGCAAATGGTGCCGATGAAATTGATGGGTCAACAGCAATTATAAAAAGGATGCCTACTGAACCTTGTTCACTCAAAGCCTTTTCAGCAAATCGTAAACTTACATTTTGATCTGTACTTGTCGATAAAAAATTATTGAATGATATTAATCCACCTTGTGCTTGTTTTAATTTTTCAAAATTTTCTGATGTCATACCTTGACCACGATAGACAGTAAATTTTTTTTGAAAACTTCTTGATTGTTCCGAATGCAATTTTTCAATGTGTCGATGTAAATCGCAAATAAAAAATGCCATTCGAATAATAACATCAAATTCTTGTTCACGAAGACCCCAATTAAGCATATGATAAATGAAACATTCGTACGTATACCACCATATGGGTGACTTAGTGTTGTATTCTATATGAAACATTTCAATTTTTTTCAATTCTTCATGATTATTAGAATATTTATCACGACTATAAGTAACTATATCATCAATACTTTTATCATTGTATTCGAGTTCAAGAAGAATTTCTTTAATTAATTGTGTATACATAAATGATTGATCAAGTTGATCTAAACTTTTACTAGATAGATCATTTGTCGAAAATAAACTAATACCTATAGAATCTTCTTCACATTGACGTGCTACTTTATGTAATGATTCACATAGAGGTACAATATCTGTGAATACACCACGAACTATGGACCAACTTTTTTTTAACGATTCATATTTGGATTGGTTTTGACAGAAAATGAAAACTGCTGTAAGTTTAGGAACATTATGAATACGTGGCAAAATTTCTTGTCCAACACTGCCAGATACTATTAGTAATAATTTCTGATTTTTAATTTTGTCGAAAAAATTAATACATTGGTCAGCATCATTAAATACATGAATATTACTTGCAATTGATTGTAAGTGTTTAATTGTATTATTATAATGATCATCTTGTAAATTTATGTTCGTATCCAACCAGAAGAGAACATAATTTTCAATCATGAAAGAACTTTTTGAAGAATGCAAGGTTGTATCAGCACTAATCGATCTTGATGTAAAATAAGTCGATTGTATTTGTTTCGTTGGTGGTTTATTTTTAGTAGGTGGCTGCATTTGTTTCAATTTTGTTCCACTGAAAACATTACTGCTTGTGATCAGTTTCTTTTTGTCCATTCTATCTTAAAGTAAGTTGATTTTTTTTATTGTATGTATCGGAGAAAAATAAAATCTTAAATAATTTAACACAAAACGAATTGACACAGTGACTGTATACTTTTGAAATATTCTCTCTTTCCAAGATCATTATTTTTCTGTTTACGATGACAGAATAATTTTGGATTGGTTTTATAATTTCATTATAAAGAAGAAAGAATGTTAACAACAAAAACATACCTTAAAAATGAATAAACAAAGAAGTTTAAGTTGAAAAAAGTTGATTATTTTTTTGGTAGAAAAAGAAACGAAAATAATTCAAGTCCGTCTCATCAACATGCGTGTCTACTTATGCGTCGTTGTGAAATTACTTGACTAACGAGCAAAGATAAATAGTTGTTGTCAATGTTACGAAATATTTAGAAATGAAATAGTGTCTCGTAGGTCGTATTAAACGACTTGATTATATGTTTTCTAAAGATTTCCTGAAAACTGCATCCACTTCTAGTATACTTAACCTATGGAAAAATATACTAATGTATGATGAACACTCATGATAGTGAATATGCATCAATGATTTAGCCATCATACCATTGTAGTCTCATTTCTTCCTACATGTGCTAGAAGAGCGTCTCTTTCCTGTGTACTTTAATAAATAATACAGGATATCAAAATAAAAAGCAGTGAACAATGCGTCCAACGTTGTTTCTTTTTTGATTTATTATTTTTTTCTTCAACATTTTCTTTTTCTTTGCTCTTTTCTTTTCTCTTCGGTCACATCAATCCATACTTGATTTAATTAATCATAAGTTTGTTCATTTTTGCTTTGCTTCGAAAATGAGAAATGCAGTAGTAAGCAGGACTTTTTATTGACATTATTTGTATGCACATAAAACCTTTCATTGACAATAAAAAACAAACCTTAATTAAAAGATGTGTGTTCGTCTCTCTCATCATATATTGCAAGCGGGTGAGTAAAAGGTAGAATCAATCTATAAACAGTTCTTTGAAGTTTCGTGGTAAACAATCAATCGTAAAACATTCTGGAAAAAAAGATGGGTTGTTGCTGTAGTGGTAACAGTAAACCCATAGCGAATCTTTCTAATGAATCTGCTCAGCGTGAACGTGGAAGTTTAAAAACTCCAATCGTAACTCCAGTTATAACACCTGTATATCAAGACTCTAGAATCGAAACGTCCATTCTAACACCTGAAACTCAAATACCAAGAATTGAAACATCTATTATGACGCCTAAACCTGTAATAATAAGGCCTCAAAGTCCAGTTAAAGCACCCGAACTTCTAATTGTATCCAACCAAACCAAAAATCCACCTGTAAAGCAAGACATTTTCAATTTATCACGAGTTTGTAAATTTAGCATTAGCCAAACAAATCCTTTGGACCTTATTGCTGGTTATCTTAATGAACCCTTGACATCTCTTGAAGAAGCTCTTCAACCATTTCATGGTCAAATTGATCAATTAGCTAATTATATCAAAAAAGCTAAAACAGAATGTCTCTATCCATCGAAGCATCATCTTACACGTGACGAATCAGCTGCTATCTATATTTACACAATGAAATGGAAAAATAAATGTATGTATGATCATTTGGAGGCAGCATGGAAGTCTAACGATCGATTGACAATGAAGCCATGGTTCAAATTTCTTAGATTGTTCAGAAGTGCACTTAATAAATTACCTGATACAGAAAAAGAAATTTGGCAAGGCATACATTATGATCAAAATCTCTTAAAGAAATTAAATTCAAAGACAGGAGCACTCTACTCTACCTTGAGCTCATGTTTATTATCGCCTAATGAAATTAAAGATTATCTTCAGAAAAATGCTGGTGACAAAGTAATACTCATTAGTTATAAATCTGTAAATGGAAAGTCAATAACTGAGTATTCCGTTAACAAGAACACAGTATATCTTATATGGCCTGGCATGCAATTAGGTGTATCTAGTAGCAAAACCAAGCTGTCGACAAAATCTCCTAGTATGCAACAGAATACTCCAGCTAACAATACCAATGCATGCACAATATATCCTAATATGAGCGTGGGTGTAGACAATTTCATGGAGATTGCTGAAGATGGCTCAGTGATTATACATCTAGTAGGCCTTCCGGGTAAGTAGAAATATTATAGAGTCGTATCGTTTTATAATTGACTTCTACTGAATTAATTCTTCAACAAAAGCTCGTATAACCATATTGAACTCTAAATACAAGCAAAAAAATAGATTATATCTTAATATTTTGCAATAATCGCAGCAAATATGCAAGAGATAAATTACTGATTTGAAATTTATTTTTAGGCACTCTTCCATCGGCTGCAAACAACAACGAAAAAATTGAAATACATTTCGTATGCATAAATCGTAATCATAGACATTTACCTGTCATGCAACATTCGATCGTGCTGCAAACCAATATTCTTTTCTTTGCTATGAACGTCATAAGTAAACGAACACATTGTCGTAATGTAAATTATTCTTATATCAGATCATCATAAGTTCGCTTCACTCATTCTTAGGTGTATTTTTTGATGAGCAAAATATCTGAAAAAATGCATGGCTGCTCTGGTAGTCATGATCAATCGTCCGGATGTATTGGATGTTATACTCTTTGAAGTTCATTTTTTCTATGATCATCCATTTTATGCCGAAAGATAGGTCTTCTTATTAAAGAGTATAGGATAAATGAACACGTTCTTTCTCATGTTTACAAGCATTACTGTGGTTCTCCACTGCACAATTGTCCATAACTCATGTAGAAGTCTACAACAATATTCTTTTTGACATATCATACTGAGTTGAAAACATAATTGAATGAATCATACATGTTCTCACTGTGAGAAAAGTAAAATTTGTTCAATGACGATGTGATTTTTTATGCATAGCATCAATTTTAAACAATTGTTTCAGATAAACAGCATAAATTAATACAGTGATTTGACTACTTTTCATGAATGTAAACGGTGCCATTTCCGTAAAAACCATTCAACTTTCATGTGATCATTGCCAATCGATCTTGTCTGTTCGATTTATTTTGATGGCTAGTGAAATAGATGAAGAACATTTTTATTGTAATGAATGCCATCCTTATAGTCATTTATTTATTACTATTGTTAGAACCATAATGGGAATAATATATCATTATTTTTGAAAACTCACGAATAAATAACAAAATTATAAAATAAAGATTCACTTGCCCATTCCATGGCATATATAACCAATCGTAAAATACGACTAATG